GTGATCCTGTACCGTACACTGTGTGTTGATTAATTCCCTCAGCCATGCTCCTACTGTTCCATTCCGTATGGTACACACGTTCAGATTAGACCCACGGGTTGGCAAATGGGAAAAGGTTAGCCCGATGTCAACATGTCGAAGATACCTGGCATGCAGTGCACTAGATGGGCATTTGTATGCAATGGGAGGAGAGGATGAGTCAGAACGATCGCTGAATTCAGTTGAGAAGTATAACCCAACAACTGACCAATGGACGGCAGTGACTCCCATGAACGAGAGGCGATCGAATGTAAGTCTGTCCATCATTCGGAAACAGTTTTGATCAACTTATTCTCATGTAGAAAATTGAAATGCTGCTTGCTTCCAGGTGGGAGGGGGTGTTGTCAACAAAAAACTATACGCTTCTGGTGGATACGATGGTGCTACGAACATCAATCTTGCGAAGTTTTCGATCCTGAGACGAATGTCTGGAGTACTGTTATCTACAAGGACGACAGGTGACTTGTCGTTCGAGTTGCTGCGTCATTTTCATCGTCGTTCGCATTTTTTCAATATGAACTTTGAGTGTCTACTTTCATGAAACTTTAAACGAAGATCTAGGTGCATACAGGGTGGGGAGGGAGGCAAAAGAGACACTTTTTTCCTCGACTTCCAAGGCGATATAAGTTACACTTGATAAATTCTGATTGGACATTTCACCATCAAATTCAACAACACATTGTACACTATCACGATACTCCGCCACAGCCTTCTGGACGAGCGCCATCGAGAGATTCTGCCACGCGACCGTGATTCGGTGCCTGAGTTCAGCGAGGTCGTTGATTTCTTCGCCACTGTAGACCCCTGTTGGGCTCGTAGAACCGGTAGTACGTGGGTTAGAAGGTGGACTGAGATATTAATTTCTTCAGGTAATTCACTAATCCTTGCTATCCAGAGTAGTTCCAGATTCCAAGCCAGCGAAGAGTTTCCAAAGGCCTTCGATTCTCGTTGTGGTGGGGGATGCGGGGGGGGGGTCCTGGTGGCGGAGAGATACGGAGGTGGTGTGGGCAGAGAGGGGAGTGGTGAGCAGGCGGGAGAAGGTGAAGCGGCGATACGATATTAACTCGATGCCTGTTGAATGTAAGAGTTACAGTGTTCACTATCCAGTCGGGGTATCCTACGAAAATATCGAATATTTCCCGGTTCTAGGAACTTCGTGTGCAGTACCCAACCCGCGCCTATACAGGTGCAGTTAGAGGAGAGTTAGGATAGTATCTGATGTATCGTGGCGAGGTGTGGCAGGGAGGAGAAGGTGAGAGGGCGATAGTGGCGTAGTGTGGAGCATGGTAGAAGAAGTAACTGGGAATGGTCAGAGCTGCTCAGTATTGGAGGTGACGTGAATTCCACAAGAATTCTCCAGTATGGCTGCGATTGCAGATTCATATTTTGGTGTACATGATGGACGAGAGCCTGCCTCTTTTCATGGAAAGCATCTTGGCGCCCTGGTGCTGCGTTTTCTTCACTGATAACCGCCAATGTGTCTCCCCCCCTTCTTCCCGCTGTATATCGGCATAGTACTTCTTGCAAATGTGAAATCAAAGTCGCATTTCACAAAATCTGGTCTCAATAGCGAGTTATGAAAGGGAGAAATAAATTTCGAGAGGTGCAGTGTGGCTATGAGAGTTGACCTTCTTTATCAAAGGGGTTGCGTGCGCTTTTTGCTGTGCAAGTTACAGTATAGAGGTTCACCTCCCTCTCACAAGAGACCGCAAATTTTGCTCTATATTATTTAGAAATTTTTATCTACTAGACGTCGCAGCCCGGCAGCAGCCCCGGTCAGGGTACAGCATCACTGGGAGGAACCCAAAAAGGGGATCGTGTTTGGTCGCTGAGGAGAGGCCCTATCTTGTCGATGATGGGATCGAATCTTGTCGACTTTTCTCGATTTTATTTTTCATGTGCGCTGCGTTTATATCAGGGCACCTGGAGACCAGTACTCTCGATCTGGATGACCTCCAACATCGAGCAGCTCCGACAACGTCGCCACGGTCTAGGACATCATCTTCACCACAGTCGCGGGTTGATGGTATGGACCGGACGTACCTGGAATGGAAAGACCAATATTTTCTTCGTGGACCCCGGACTGAAGGTGAGCGGTTACATTGAGCAACTCGTGAAGAATATCCTCCTCACATGTCGTCGCCCGTACCTTCTTGGAAACTGTACTGCTACAGCATTGGGTGCCACCACATGGAATCGAAGGGCATTGGAGAAACT